TAGATCCCTTTCACATGCTCTTTCTTTCACTCCTCCCTCGCCAACATTTAAAGGGCAAATTGGTGGTCAATGACCACCAATTTGGGGAATGAACTTGCTCAGCCTCTAAGGATCCCAGTAACTCTCAATGGTCTGCATCCACACTGCAGAAAGAATCCTCTTTGACACCGCTTTAACTGCCCTGGCTCAATGCTATGGAATTCTGGGAACTGTAGTTTGCCGTAGCCCCAAAGCTCTCTGACAGAGAAGGCTCAATGTCTTACAAAACAACAATTCCCAGAATTCTCTAGCATTGAGCCAGGGCAGTTAAAGCGGTGTTCAACTGCATTATTTCTGCATTGCGGATGCAGCCCTATTGAGTTTAATCGAGTTTCGGCTGCATCTACACTTAAGGCAGTTTGACACCACTTTAACTGCCATGGCTCAGTGCTATGGAATTCTGGGAACTGTAGTTTTGTGAGATATTTAGCCTTCTCTGTCAGAGTGCTCTGATGCCACAAGAAACTACAAATCCCAGGATTCTATAGCATTGAGCCATGGCTGTTAAAGGGGTGCTAAACCGGATTGTTTCTGCAGTGTGGATGCAGCAACAGCTTCTTCTCTGTATCTCTTCCCTACGTGCTTAAAAAAATCCCCTCACTTTTTCCTTTTCAGCTTTCTCTCTCCCCATCCCAGATTGTGACTTTACATTTATTTTTAAAGCATGGCAAAAGCCTCGACGTTGTCTCCCCGCGTTGAAGGCAAGGTAGTTAGTTACCTACTGGATGTTGGAGGAACGCGTTCCCCGAGCTTCGGAGGGGATGCTAGCAAAGGCGGGAGGGGGTGTGTGTGTAGCATTTCAATTAATTAATTGAGGAGATTTGATTTAATTAGCGAAGATAACTCGAGGTTTGCATCGCTCTCCGGCTGCATCCGCACGGCAGACATAACCCGGTTGGACACCACTTTAATTGCCATGGCTCCCTGCTATGGAATCCCGAGATTTGTAGCCTGTTGTGGCACCAGAGCTCTCTGACAAAGAGAAGGATAGTTCTCACAAAACTACAAATCCCAGAATGTCAGAGCACGGAGCCATGGCAGATAAAGCGGTGTCAAAGTGGATTATATCTGCAGTGTGGATGCAGCCACTCTCCCCCCCCCCCCTTGGGCTTCTAATCATCTGGCCAAACCGGGGAACCAGGGAAGAGCCCGAGGTGTGTGTGTTGTTGTTGTTGTTGTTGGGTCTTGGGTGTCAATCTGTGGGAGCCAGGCAGAAGGCCCTAGAGACCTATGGTTACTGAAATAAATAAACATTTCTGGAGGGGGAATAAATGCAATCCACACCAGGAACTGTCATTAGACTCTCCCACCCACAAAGTTCTTCAAGTAAGCTAAAATCCGAATTGGAAAATATGTGTTTCCAACCATCCTATATAGGTCCTAGTTTGATGTGCTTTACTCTGTGGAGTAACATGGATAATCGTTTTATGATGTCTTATAATAATATCTCTCTTTCGCCCCCTTTCATCCTCTCATATATATATATATATATATATATATATATCTGAAAACTTCCATTTTATCTATGAATGAGATGATAAAAGCTTTAAGCTGATGGGGGGCATATCTGTTGATATGGATATGTGTGTGTATGTATATACTGTATTTGTATATATCTGTGTATGAAAGCCCTCTCATATCTATGTCATCTATATATTTCTATAGCCCAGCATATTAGTTTCATGCTTTTATAATATCTATATTTATATCATCTGTATCTCTATGGCCTCCCATATAAGTTTAAAGCTTTCATCATCATCATCATCATCATCATCATCATGATGCACACACACACACAAACACTAGACCTGAGCCAGGGTGGTGTAGTGGCTTGAGCGTTGGACTTACGACCCTGAAGATCAGGGTTCAAATCCCTGCCCCACCATGGAAACTCACTGGGTGACCTTGGGCAAGTCACACTCTCTCAGCCTCAGAGGAGGGGAATAGTAACCCCTCCCTCTGAAGAAACTTGCCACGAAAATCCAGTTATAGGCCAGTTATAGGGTCACAGTACATAGGGAAAGACTTGAAGGCACATAACAACAACAACAACAACAACACACACATATATGAGTTGAGTCCCTTTTTCCAAGAGAGAAAAAATGAAAGCTCTCTAAGCTGATATCGGAGGGCTAGTTGTATGAGAGCTTTCATTCATTTCTCTCTTTTTCATTCTCCCTCTTTCTCTGAGTTTTCATTATACAGTAGGTGTGTGCATACACATCTATCTATCTATCTATCTATCTATCTATCTATCTATCTATCTATCTATCTATCTATCTATCTATCTATCTCTGAGCACTCTGTCATTCATATATAAGGATGTATTTGTGTATGTATGAGAATGAAACCTTTAAATTGGTGAAGGATCACCCAGATCTAAAGGTTTCCTTTGCCAGGGCTTGATTTCTTCTCCTAGGTCCCTATCTTGTGTGCAAAACTCCCCCCCCCAACCTAAATTTTCTTCCCTCTAAAATGAGCTACTATTTCTTTATTCTCTCTCGATCTCAGTAAAGGCTACAAAATGAACGTCAACATCAATTATACACACGCAATCCTCTAAGATCCATTATCTAAATAGCTCTGGGGAAAAAGATGGATGTGTGTGTGTGTGTGTGTGTGTGTGTGTGTCAGTGAGAGAGAATCTACACCTCCACCTTAATTTAGACTCTAATATAGTATCTCCATCAACTAGACAGTTCCAAATTTATTTCAGAAACTCAATGAAATCAGACTAGAAGACTTCAGTGGGACTGAACTGGCCTCTTTCACTTCCTATCAACTCTGGACGAATACATTTTGTTGCCTGGATAATTCATAGGGGTTCCATTTTCTCTCCCTTCCTTTTGTCTTTTATGGCAGGTGGATAGGAAACCCAGCCCCAAACATCTATATCTACATAGATATCAACTTTCCTATATCAACAACACATTGTGTGCCTTCAAGTCATTCCTGACTTATGGCGACCCTAAGGTGAACCTATAATGGGGTTTTCGTAGCAAGATTTGTTGAGAGAGGGTTTGCCATTGCCTTCCGCCATGGTCCGCCATGGTCGTACAGGTAGTCTTTGAGAGATCAGTATAGTCTTAAAACCCCAAGTCTCTTCTAAATTGTGTAATTTGCATGGCTGAACATGTAGGTGTGATTCCACTTTAGCAACCATGGTTCTGTCCTTAGGAATCCTAGGATTTGTAGTTACATGAGATATTTAAAATTCTCAGTCAGAGAACTCCAATGCCACTGGATAAACTACAGACAGGATTCCTTCTATAGGATATATATATAGTCATGTCAATTGAAGTGGAATCATGGCACTATAATTGTGTAGTGTGAAAGGGCCCTAGGAGGATGGTGGACTGTCTTCATCTGGAGACAGAGGTTGAATGGACATCTATTTGGAGTGCTTTATTTGTGTGTTCCTGCATGGCCCTTGTGGACCCTTCCAGCTATCTAAATCTATGTTTCTGACCAGGCCTAACTCACCCAGTTTGGGAGGTTATTTAATTTGCTTTTTTTACTCTATACTCACTTTCCAATAAGCCTAAAGAGACTCCTAGGGTGACACATGCTGTTGTCACTGATCTTTAAAAATGCTCCCATTAAACCCCTGCTGCAAAGTAGTAACCACATTTACCAGTAGCCTTGGTTTGTGAAAATCCATTTCATGCTAGGATCTCTAGTGTAATTGTTCTGAACTGGAAAGCATGTAATGAAAGCCATATTTGAGAAGAAAAAGGCAAGAGAACATCAAGTTCTACCACTGCTTATAGCTGATTTGCACAAGCGTGCCAGCTTTCTCTTCCACAGATACTCTTAACTTCTTAAAATCAAATTTCCTGATGGATTCCTATTTAGGCCTGTCTAAATTGGGGGGGAAGAGAGACAGAAAAATCTATCCCTTTGTGAAATGTTACAGCCTTCTCCACTCTGATATCCTTTAGATGTGATCCACTACATTACCCATCACCACCAGTCCCCACAACCAGTGAGATGTATTGGTTGGAGATGATGGAACTTATTATCTAACACATCTGGAGACTAGAAGATAGGAGAAGTAATCTGAAACCCAAGACATAGGGCCTTTGCAGACTGCCAGAAATAGTGCAAATTGAGTCCACTTTTAGGGTTAAGGTTAGGGTTAGGGAATCATTGGAACTGTATTTTATTGTGGCACCAGAGCTCTCTAACAGAGAAGGCTCAATGTCTCAGAAAAAACCCACAATTCCCATGATTCCCTAGCACTAATCCTAACCATTAAAGTGGATTCAGTTTGCACTATTTCTGGCAGTTTGCAAAGGCCTGTAGTTTACAGGCACCATGTGGTGTCATATCCTTGTTGATATTTATTTGTGTGTTTGTGTGTGTGTGTGTGTGTGTGTGTGTGTGTGAAGGTGTGTGTGTATGCTCAGAGTCTAGGATGGGAAAACTGCTTTGGAAACCTCTGTAGGCCATCCTAAATTTGATAAAAGAAATTTAAATTAAGAAAGTGCAGAATATATATGAATTAGTCATTGTTGTTATGGTTTTCACACCACTGTGTCCTTATGAACAAGATTTAGAGTCTAATTTTGTTATGATTAGTTTTTTGTTCTTATTGGTTTTTATTGATGCTATTAGTTTGTATTAATTTATCCTTGTCACATGGTCATGATACAAATGGACACATTTCTTATTTTGAAAGCCCAAAATTTAGAAGCAACAGATTTGTGTGGAGGTGAGGGTATAATATGTCAGGGACAAGGAAAGGGAGGACAGAAGTGGAGGAGAGGAAGACATGGAATCTCCATAATCATGACAACTTCAGATAGTTGAATCCATATGGGGAAGGAATTACTACTTCAAAAAGGACCAGAAGAAATCTAGATCAAGGTAAACTGGATTGTGCCCTGGGGTATGTGAACTATGATTATCTGAAATGCAAAGAAGGGCTTTTTCTGCTCCTCCTTGCCACCTGAATTTTGTGTTTGCACTTCCTATTCACTGTCCCACTTAATTCATTTTGTGACAAGAAATGAACAGCTCTATACTCATTTACCTGGAAGAAATCCTACTGTACTCAGTGGGCCTGCTTCTAAGTGGGCAAATAAAAGAAGGTCACTTTATTTTATTTATGTGCCCTCAAGTTAGTTCTGATTTTTAAGTGATCCTATCCTAACACTTTCTTTGGCAAGTTTTTTCAGAGGTTCGACATTGCTTTCTTCTAAGGCTGAGTGAATGTGAGTGGCGCAGAGTCACCCAGTTGGTTTCTGTGGCTGACTGGAGATTTGAATCCTGGTCTCTCAGAGTCCTGGTCCAACACTCAAATCACTACACCATGCTGGCTCTATTTCTTCACCAAGTATAGTGATTTATCCCTTTTCTTCCAAGGCTGCACACCTGTCCTGCCTTTCCTTCCCCAGGTTTAATCTCTCAACAACAGCTCTGTAGGTCAGGGCTCACCTGGAATACTGTGTCCAGTTCTGGACACCACAATTCAAAAAGGATGTCGACAAGCTGGAACATGTCCAGAGGAGGGCGACCAAAATGGTGAAGGGTCTGGAAACCTTATGAGGAGCAACTTAAGGAGCTGGGTATGTTTTAGCCTGGAGAAGAGACAGTTAAGAAGTGATATGATAGCCTTGTTTATGCATTTGAAGAGATGGCATATTGAGGATGGAGGAAGCTTGTTTTCTGCTGCTCCAGAGGATAGGACCCAGAGCAATGGATTCAAACTACAGGAAAAGAGATTCCATCTCAACGTTAGGAACAAATTCCTGACAGCCAGAGTTGTTGGACAGTGGAGTGTGGCAGAGTCTCCTTTTTTGGGAAGTTTTTAAACAGAGGCTGGATGGGGGTACTTTGATTGAAAGTTCCTGCATGGCAGGGGGTTGGATTGGATGGACTTTGAGGTCTCTTCCAACTCTATGATTCTAAGGTAGATCAGGCCTTAGTGTGCCACGATAATTAGTGAATTCCATGGCTCAATGGGGGCTTGAACATGGATCTTCTACAAAGTCCAGGTCTATGAATGTATCTCCTTTGTAACAGATGGAGGAGTCAAATAGTTGGGCCCAATGGTAGCCAATCAATATCAAGTTATGGAAACTGAAAGGTAAGAATGCTCATTTTATTTTATTTTTTATTTCTTTAACTTATCTACCAACTTTAACAAATAGCCTTGCTCCTGAGTAAAATTCATCTTGCTAGCTGCACAAAAACCTATTTACTATTGCACATTTTATTTTCCTACTGCAGAAAGTGTGTTGAGCTGCACATTGTATCACTCCAATCTAGGGGTTCTCCCATTACTCCTGGTTCTTAAATATATGTAGGACTGCCCTTTTCTAGGAATGCATCCCTAGTAGGTGGCTCCTACATGTTCTTTTGTGCAACTCAGTTCTATGAGGGTTTACTCCTACCAAGAGAATCTCACTGTGTTCTATGGGGCTTCCTCCCCGAACAGTGTGCAAAGTACTGCAGCTTCATTCATACATTCATTCACTCATTCCATAGCCCACCTTTCTTCCACCAAGGGACTCTAGGTGGCTTACAAAATTTAAAATAGTAGTTGGCTAAAGTATTACACACAAGAGTTAAGCTGCTTTGAGTCCCAATTTTTGGGGAAAAAAACACAAAACCCTGATGGGCCAGCGTGATGTAGTAGTTCAAGCTTTTGACTAGGACACTGGGAGACTAGAGTTCGAATCTCAGTTCTGCCCTGGAAACCCACTGGGTGACTCTAGGCAAGTCACTCTCTCTCAGCCTCAGAGGATGGCAATGGCAAACTCCCTCTGAAGAAACCTGCCAAGAAAAACCATGATAGGGTCACCATAAGTCAACAACAACAACATGTCTTTAGCTACAGTCCCTCAGATTTTCTCTAATTTTTTTTGGTGCCTTTGCACT